AAAAGTAAACTGTAGTATGAGATAGATATCTTTCTACAAAGATACATCCGTTGAGTATATATGCAGTGCATAGTTATTGATCAAATGTGATCAAATCTTTGGTTGTCAATCCAAAAACTTTGGTCTTAGATCACCGGTGGCTGATTTGGAGCTTTGGCAACTGAGTACAACCTGCGGCACAATACTGACAGCACTGACCTTTTAGGACCAGTTTCTCACAATAGACTGTTGCTACGACACATGTCTACAAACCAACCAGTCAGAATATGACATAAAATGACACAGAACAGTCCTGTCAATGTGACATTTTATGAACGGCATTCAAAAATAAGGTTTAGAGAGAAACAAAATAACTCAGAAACCAAACAGAAAAATATTTCTTTGCTTTAGGTTTTCTAAGGCAATTTACAGAACAAGAAATGGAACCAGAAAATGATGCTAAGGAAAATATAAATAAATATATATATCATAAATAATAAAAAAATATAAACAAATATACATACACATGATAATTAAAATTAATATTTTCTTTTGGACACATCAATATGCATTTTCTAGTTCTGTTTATCTTTGGTATTAACTGGAAAAAACAAAACAACAGAAATTGATCAGAAATTAATTAAAAGAGAGACATCTGTTAGACCACTTGCATATGTGAATCTGATATTTAGCCAGTAAAATGATTAAATTAATAAGATCCAGCAAGTGAGTAATGAAAAATATGTTTGTGGGACCTTCCAGACTCAAAATGTAAGCACCACGCAGACGGATGACGCAACCTAATGACATGTCTCTGCTTTCTACGATTCGCCACACATTCACTGCAGAATTTGACAGTCTGGCATATTGATTTCGTACAGTCTGACGCAGACTGCAACTTAAACTTTATTCGCCCTATCACTCAGTGTGACATACAATAAACTTGCATTTAACGATCGCACTTTATTGTAGACAAAGATAGTTGTGGGAGTCTTTTGTAGCGGAGTGTACAGGGTTCAAGAAACTGAATAGAAGAAGGTGCTTTTTTAAAGCCTGTAACAGTTGTAGTATGCCAAACCCTTCGCAAAAAAACATCAGCAGAGACAGTAGTGAGCTCTTGCTACAGTATTGCTCAATATGCTGGTACAGAAACACTCATATCATGTGTTTCCTTGCCCTTCTCTTTTCTTTGACATCTCTAGCTGCCTGCTGATTTTCAGGAGCGACTGACCATGCACATGGAGGACTCTCCTCTCTGTCACACCTACCCCGACACCATCCCAGCCTCTCTCATTGCCAAAGTGCTCGAGAAGCCGGACGAGGCATGCAGCAGCAGCCAGGCCTCCCGCTCTCCCAGCCCCCAAACCCAGGACCATGCCTTTATCTTGGAGCGCTTGGGACCAGGAGAGCGACTGGGGCTCCGTGCAGCCTACAAATCTGATCTGTACAGTAGCGACACGGCCCTGTACTGCCCTGACGACCGGCACCGTGAGCGGAGGCCCAGCATGGACCTCCACGGTGAGAGGAAGCTGCTATACGGGCCCCAAAACTCCACAGACAGCAACCCAGAGGATGGCTCGGTGGGGTTGAGGGCTGGCTTCTCCCAGGAGCACTTTCCTAAGTTCCCTGCCACACTGGGTGCGGGCTCCAGCTCCTACTCAAGCTTCAGCGGAGGGGGGTCTGAAGACAAAGGCAACGGCCCACCCAGCAGTGCAGCTTCCTCCCCGCGCCACCATTCCCTCTACATGGACTGGAGAGATGCAGGGGACTATGAGAGAAAGAGTGACTCATCCTGGGAGAGGGACAGTCCAAGAGGCTTTGCCAACGCTCATCCCTTCCAGCAGACGGAGCTGAGCCACCACCAGAACGGTAGCTCGCCTGTCTACAGCCGCACCATGTCCTCCTGTTTCAGTGAGCCCTACGAGCCGCTCCCTCCCTCTTCATCCCCAAGTGTTGCCTACGGAGACAGTCGCCGGGGCAGCACGTTAGCCCCCGAGGAGGAGGAACTGATTGGCCGATGGAGACAACTTAGTGTGGAGGACTTAAGTGCCCACACCTACCGCAGCCCAGGCCGGGCTTCACCTTACAGCTTCTCAGAGCAGCACTTCTCTGTCCGGCCGGCCAAGATCCGACTCGGGCCTCTCTACAGCAGCTTCCAGGAGGGGGCTGACTATTACCATCACGCAGCGGGTGTCATGGACCCAGTGTGGGTAGCCGGCAGCCCCAGTCCCGAATGCAGCCCAGGGCTGCGACAGGCTCATAGCCAAGCCCACCTGTACCGAGCCGAGGACAGCCAGGGGTCGGAGCACAGCCTCTACCACTCAGGGAGCTCCAAAGACAGGGAGGGCAATGTGGCATCTGGTGGCCAGAGCACAGATTATGTAGACCCCAGCCCCAACAGCTCCACCGAGTCTCTGAACCAGAGAACCCTGGAGATGGCTGCAGAACTGCAGCACTACCAAGTGGAAATGCACAGTATGCCTGCACAGGCGAGCCAGTCGCCGCCGCCGGCCCCACCCCCTCCTCCTCCATACAACCAAAAATTTGGCTCCCTGGGACTTTCCAGGAAGGACAGTCTGACCAAGGCCCAGCTTTACGGAACACTTCTGAACTGAAGGACTTCCCAATCAGGTTTATTCTTTGATAGGATCCTAGACGCAAGGCCCTGCTACAAGCAGCTACACTTTCTGTTAGCGAGATCATTTTGATAGATAATGGTTTGAATAAAAGTCAGGAGCCAAATAATTCAGTATCACGAACATGTAACTATTGCTGATTATTTAAAAGCTTTGGTCGTATGGCGGTGGGTGGAAACAGTTTACACCACAGTTGTCCTGAGAAAAGTATCATGTTGAAAGAGTTGGCTGCGGGGCGGTAGGAGGGGAGTGGAGCTCAAGTGGCCCCGTAAAAATTTGTATGAATGTGTATGTATTTAAATTACAAATGTATAAATATATACTTATAACTGAAAATTGAGTGATATATTTTGTATGTAGCTGTTAGCAAGAAATAAATCCACAATCAAACTAAATGCAAATCTTCTTGATAAACCTGGAACTTGTATATAAAATTAAAACCTGCCAATCCTATATTCGGAAAAACTAAAAAAATTTAAGTATTTTAATTGAGAACTGACGCCCGTATAAACTGCACATAGATTCGTTTCATTCATTATTTCTTGATCGGAATGGTGTTGGCCTTTGTGAGGGTTTAAATATTATTGTTGAACACAGGAAGACAACAAACACAAATTAATCACTTAATGAGAAACACAGGCTACATTTTCTTTTCCTTCTGTTGATTGAATTTGACAGTATCGGTGGGTGTGTTATATTGTTATTGATGGAACGTTTTGAGATCTGTCTTAGCAGTCAGTATTATTTTTTATTTTTGCTCTTCTATATCTCACAGAGAGAGGTTTTCCTGCCCCCATTCTACCTCAGATTTGGATGCCCACACCCCATCAAGCCACTGTAACCCTGTTTCTTTGACAACGATGCATGTTTATACATTTTGGTTGTTTTGTTTGCCTAATAAAGCACAAGTTATACATATAACCAAGCCTTCTTTTCATGTTCAAATGGGGGGGGATTTGAAATGTGCATGTATGAAAGAGACATTTAAATTTTAAAGTACAGTAGCATGTGATCTTGTCTTTTTAAGATAATTACGTGTCTGCTGATCCGCAGTGGAGTGATTGAACTGGGAGGGAGACCCTTCATCAGTCAAACTCACATTGCTGCAGCCATGTGGTGCGTGCCTGCTGAGTCACTTGGAAGCCCGGCTTTATCACTGATGTGAATTTAAAAATAGGTTAGTCGAGAAAGGATTTTTTGCCAAGATCAGCAAACTCAAAACAGAAAAAGGAAGTTTATTCTGCATGTTCCAGGGAGTCATCCAGAAAATACTACGAGGAAATGTTTGTTATGCTGTTTGTTTTTGTGATATTACACATCAAATGACAGCTAATATCACAGCTAATACTCACCATATGGCGGCAATTGCTCTTCTGATGTTAGTGGTACGATATACACAGTGGACAAAATAACAGGAATACCTTACAGTAATGAAGCCATACAGTAAATCCCTGCAATGAATTCCTCTTATGTAAAACCTGCTGATTAAACTTTTTAGGTCAATAAATTACAATGACCTGTAGGACTAAAATAATAAGTCAATTAATCATTAAACATTTTTTT